AGCTAATAATTGTAAATACTGCCTTGCTTTAGCATTAGACCAGAGTTCTCCTTTAAGTAGCCATTTTAAATGCAAATAGTATTTTGTGACATTTTTCCTTTAAACATGTCATATAATTTATCATAATAAATATTATATTAAAATGCACGTGTAGTTTTCTTTGGAAATAAATGCTCTGAGGGAGTCTTCAATAAATGAATTAATAAACATCCCACCAGTTCCTGGATACCTGCCATCCAATCTCCGCCACTAGGTGGCAGAAGACACCACAAAAGCATCAAAGGAACCCAACGCCATAGGAAATAAAAAAAAATAAAAAACTGCTTTCACCTCTAAATTTTCTCTATAAAAACACATCAAATAGGTATGAAGATTTTTTTAAAAGTAAAAAGTTTGCATGTTAAAAAAAATAGAAATCTTTGTAAAAAAAAGTAAACTTGTTTCCGAGCATTAAAAAAAATGTATACTGTATATACATTATCTATTAGAAATACATACCTAAAAAGAGACATTTAAACATGTCTTGTGCTAGAAAATGTCAAACAAATCATAATCCCAAGCAATCAAGGCATTAACAAATCAAGTTTAAAGCATGACAAGAGTTTCCTAGGGAGTTCAAACAGAAATACCTTTCCCATGGAAGGACAAAAAAAAAAAAAAAAAGCTGTACATATTTTTTTTAGGAAACAGGGGCTGCTTACCAGCAGCTCTTGGGGTTTGATGGAATTGTCAGTATATATGCAAAGTTTTTCTGCAGTTAAAGGGATAGTCTCTTTTAGCTTGGAGGCGAGGAACATGCAGACCGCCCCCAAAAGCTGCAAATGGCACTTTCTGGTGGGAATCCCAGCTAAAAATCTATCCAAATAGTTCATTGCCAAGGGGAAAACTTCTTCCTCGCACTTCTGCTCTTCGCAGACCTATGGAAAAAATGAACAGAAGGGGGCCGGGCAGTATAGATGAGGAGGGGGGGTGGGGGTACAAGAAAGGCAAAGAAAGTAGTATTGAAAGGGGCAAATTGAATAAAGAGATTATGAGGGGAAAAGAAGATAACATCAAAACAAATGACATAGCAGCAAGAAAACAGGAGATAAGCATGAAAGAAAAGCATGAAATAAGAAAAATAAAACAATATGGAGAATTGGTATAAAAAAAAGAATCAAGAAGTAAATTGTGTAGAGATTGACAGTAGTAGGATAGTATTGGAAGAAAGGTTAAAAGAACAATTATATAATGTTTAGCCATAGAGGTCACAAGGGGTAAAATATTGAAGAAATATCAATAAATAAGGCCATATGTTAAAGAATATTAATAAAAGAATAATTAATAAAACAAATAGCCAACAAAATAGTGACAACATGGAGGCAATGATGCAAAAAAAAAAAAAAAACATGAGCAGACATGCAAGTAAAAATGAAAAAGTTAATGAATAAGGAAACATTTGAAGTTGTAATGGAATAAACAGAGGGGGGATTAGAGGCAAAACAAAGGATTAATATACAAGTAAATAGTTAATGAAAAGAGCAAACGGGACAAAGTATCCATATAGCAAAGTATGCAGGTAGAAAGTCAAGATGGAGGAAAACATGCAGAAGCATGAGTAGGAAAATGATATAAGTTGATATGGGCAAAGGTGAAACAGCAATGGGGTAACATGTAAGGGGGTGAAAGAGGCAAACATACAATAGATATCAAAATAAAGAAGCAAAATAAGTGAAAAGGTCAGCAAATGAAGCAAATAGGTTGAAGAAGACAGACAAGGAACATGAAGTATAGAGGCACACCAACATGGAGGCAAGCACAGAGGAGGCATCAGAGAAGCAAAAAAAATAAAATACACAAAAGTCACAAGAAGTATCACAAAACAAGAGGAAAATCAGTTTTAAAGGGTCCAAGTGAGAGAACATGGAAGAGAAAGGGACAAGAATTGGGGGGTCAAAGAGGAGCAAGAAAAGGGAAAGAGGGAGAGAGAAAGGGAGGGGACATGGTTAAATAATGCATTGAACACGACATAAAATCATACAAATCTTTAATATAAAAGTTTCTATCTAGTCACATCATGCTGTATCAAGGCTAAAATCCACATTCACAGCCCCCCTTTGCTCCATGGGCAAACAGAGAGAGAGAGAGACACATTTCAGGTCACACTCCACCCCAGCCATTGGGACAAATTCTGACTTCGTCATTTTTTCAAAAAATATTTAAAAATACTTAAAAAATGCCCAGACGGCCGCTTTTTGCGGGGAAGGGGAGATCAGAGCCCCCTGCATCTTTCCCGACAATTGTGGGGGCTGGGTGGGCAGGTTTGGGGGGGGTAAAAGCCTCGATGAAAGGGGGGCAGGAGGTCCCAGGTTTGCAGGAGAGCATGGCTGCTATGGAAGGAAGGAAGGAGGAGGAGGGGGTGAGGTTGAGATGGGGCTGGGGTGCTATATGGGGGTCTGCTACGAAATCAGAGGTGTCCCCTTTTATTTGACTAAAGGGGTTCAGTGCACGATCACCCCAAAACCAACCGAATTCACCAACACAGCCATATACGAGCAATGCACGCTATACACAGATCAGAAGCCATTTACAGCAAGATCAGGCCACCCACAGTCACCCCAATCTTCACCGATCAAACTCACAACTTGCCCCCCACCTCCATAGTTTGTATTAAAGCCCCCTTTACATTAAAGAGGCACATTAACCCTTTATAGCGGTGATCTGGCACACTGCACCCCCCAAAAAAAGGGTGAGCCTGGGGGAATCAGCACCCCTACACACACTTATGTAAGAGTTAAAGGTCCCATTAGCAAAGGCAGCAGTTAACCCTTCCTATGTACCCAAACCACCCACCCATTCTAAGGGAACAAGGGGTGACCCCAATCCAGGGAGCCATCTCCCACGTTGTGCCCGGGAGCAGCT